ATTGTTGGTGTGTGGACAGTAGAGGAGAGGAGAGAGCAGGAACCAGGACTCCACCTGGTGCAGCACCTGTAGACTGTGACAGACCAGGTGAGACTGTTTCCTTCCAAAGACAGGATGTATGTAATCAGTTCCATTGGTTTGGTTGTCTCTCTGTTTGTTTGTTAGCAAACTAGCGTCCACTGTTGCAAATATATAGTTTTGGATTGGCCTTTGTCTATGATTTGTGATGGCAGACCCCAATAACAGCTTGAGCTAATTTCATTTTAGTGACAATCAGTTCAGGTCACACCAAATGTGAAAAGTAGTAAACATTTTATGTTCCTCACCAGTTTATACAGATTACATTCAAACTTCATAACAATATACAGGGTCTTAGGGGACATGAGTACCGAGGTCGGCTAACCAATTGACTTTTACTCTCATTGTTAACACTCAAGGTCAAAGCTTAAAAACCAGACTGACGTCAGCATGTTGTAATGGAATGAAATTAATAATCATTTTGTTACACATTCTTGTATAATGATGATAAAGTTTTGTATCATAAAAACATAATATCACTATTTTTGTATAGCCTTTGCCCTTGAGGAGCAGTGGTCCTCTTTGGATGCTGTTGGTATTCTAGTGGCCCGTACTTCATTCAGATTGTTTTACAGAGGTTTATTTGCTGTTGACACAGAGAGATTTAGATCAGTGTTTAAATATTCTCTTTCAGATGAGCGTCTCAAAACTCACTGTGAACACTACAGAGACAGCGTGAAGGCCACCAGTCCAGATGGAAATCCTATAACTGGAGTCTATGTACCACAGTGTGATGCAGAAGGACAGTATCTACCTCAGCAGGTGAAACTGTAACTTTTTATAAATTACGTTTTTATATTTATACTTTTTATTTATTTAGTGAATAACTACAGGTTCTCTTTGACTTTTGTCTATAATTTCTTTTTCTTCTTCCTAACAAATCATTTGTTGGTGGCAGTTTAGCTCTCCTGGTTGAGCAGGCAAATGTAAACTACAGGGCTCAATGCAGCAGCCTGTGTTTGATTCTGTCCCAGTTGCTTTTGCTGTCTTTCCTGTCTGAAAACACTTAATTGCTTATCAAATGAAGGTCAAAATTCCCCCAAAATAATGTATTTCTCATCTTTATTTCAGTGCCATGGCTCCACTGGCTATTGTTGGTGTGTGGACAGTAGAGGAGAGGAGAGAGCAGGAACCAGGACTC